TCTTACATTTTTTCTCAAAACAATATAAATGTTGGCATAGAAATGAATTTCGATTGTCACACAGCGTATACTTTTTGTATGGATTCATTGGGTAGTATATAATGTTAACATGAGACACGCAAACAAAACAATTGAACATTCTCTACTTTGAAATTAAACGTACATTTTTGTAATAAGCAAATTTCTTAATTAATAACATTCGCTCTCGCTTAAACCGTTGTCTGTAAATCTATTATACATATTCCCTATGGTTGGATAATATCCAAATAGATACAATGGCAATGGATAATATCATCTAAGATATCTTAATTTCACATTACACCAATGACTTGTGGATGGAATTAAAATAACGATTAATTTAAAAATACGTTGTTCAAAAGCGATTGTGTTAAGAGCAAAAAGAAAACAGTAAATCGTTGAACATTATTGCAAAAGTACAAAAGAAAACGTTGGTCTCTAGCAAGTATTAAAACTACTGTGTGGAACTGTGTATATTTACTTGAAAATATAACAGTAAAAAACCAATGCAATAATAGTTGAATTAATAACTTTAGCAAATAGGCTTAGTAAACAGTCATTACTACAGACAAGTTGCGCTTTGATCGCGTTTAGGTAAATTATATATCATTTTAAAGCATCTTAATGTAACATCTTGGTACTAGAAAGACGCAAGTTATCAAGTAGGATTACATTGTAAAAATTATCATTTGTTTTGAAATATATGAGGAATTGCGACGATATCTGCTATGAATATCGGTGTTTTTGCGAGAAATGAAAATTCATAAGATTCTCGGTTAATGTAGCGTGAAGAGACACAAATATCGTATCAAATAAAAATTCAAATTAAAATATCGGTGGTAGAGCTCTAGTGTAAAATGAAACATACCCGCGAGAAAAATTACGATGCGCGAGTTGAATAATGTAAAATATAACAAAGGTTGGATTATCTACAAAAATTAATAAAATCAAGAGTTGATTTTTCATAGAACCTCGGTAACCTTATATTTCATAAAAAGTTATACGAGAAATTACGTGAAATCAACGTTACCATGAGTATATTTGGAGGGATGTCAATAATACCACAGAATATTCACAAGAAAATAATGCGGTATACGGAATGGATTATAATAGAGTAATTATAAGAGAAACGTAGCTGCTATTCTGCCACAGTCAGTGTGGTGCCATGGTTACCTGAAATGTCGCCGCAAAATAAATGTCATTGGGAACACTAAACACGTTTTACGAATGACGCAAAATATATTACATTTATCAAAATCCAGGTTGTTTTGCCCTGATGCTAAAAATGGACAAAAATCGTGAAAACTAGAATATTAATTGTCATATATTTACAAAAAACTGATATAAAGTTGTCGTATGCTTATTTGTGAAAATGCATGTTAATAGACCACTTTGGTCTCTTCATATTTGAGACGCATTTGAGAATAATTGTAGGATTTCGTATTTCATATGACTTTTTACTCTCATTCTGTTGATTTATACAATCAGGAACGCATACACATTTCTACGCAAATATCCAACACAAATCAAAACAAGCTATTGAATAGAATAAATGATGCGGGGATCAATCGTTATAAATACGCGCTGAATTGCCGAACTGTTGACCGAAATGTTAGTATCGGGTGCATGCCATAGGCAATTACGGATTTTAACTTGGAGATCTATGACAGTTACAGCATTAAGCCATTAATACGATGAAAGGGCAATTAAATTGCTTATAAAGCCTCAAATAGCCGGGGAATTCCAAGTTTATGGGATATTATAACGCAAGGCGGTGGTTAATCTGCTCGCCGTGGAAATTGAGCCCGACATTTTGCAGACATCGTTCAAGAAACGGTATAATAAAATCATATTTTCTGCATCCTTGATTGGTGCATGAATTATCTGTTATTTTCCCACTGTTCAACTTAATTACTCGGTCTATAAATGTATTAAATTTGAACCTAAATTCATAGACGTATGTATAAACTGCGCTTGCTCGGTGGTGTTTATCTTTACTAAGTAGTTAGTAAAAATGGGTTTCCAATTCAAGATATATTGATATTACCCGCAAGAATAAAGACATTCTAACATGTCGACATTACGTTTAAAATCAGTAAGGCAAATGAAAAGCAATATAACATTGCAGAAGATATATTTGTAGACGTATTACTTAGTGATTAGAGCTGGCAAAATTACACCAAGCAAATATTGACAAAGAATGTGACGATGTGACGAGTTTAACGACAACGACTTCTTTACGGCCCTTATGAAAAATAACAATCATAGAGTCAATGTAAGATTTATCTAAAGCGTCAAAGGCACGGCCAGCAAAGCTCCACAAAAGTGCAAACATTTCAAATTCAAAATGTAGGAATAACAGAACGTTTTATATATCCATATATTACTAATATAAATTATTTGGTACACTGTAAGAAAAAAGTACTTGATAAATTGCACATCTCTGCCGCATACTTGCGATCTAAGATTGTCTGATATATTATTAATCGGCAAACAATCCTAATAAAAAGGAAAACTGTCGATCCGCGTTAGAACGCTGTATTAGCCTCGCTAAAGAGATCGCATTTACGGGATTACGTCCTCCCTTTTAAAACACACACAATTTTCATTATATTACCATCAAACAACACTAAATCCCACACGCTAAGAATCAGGGCGTTCGAGTTGAGCGTTGTAACAATTATGTCGTCTCATGTGCCAATGCGAATCGATTTGCGCGAGAGATCACAGAAACTATATGTTAAGAAAACAAAAGGGTCTGCCATGAAAATGAATTTAATATTATCAATGTAGAATCAGCTGTGTGGAGAAAAAGCCTTGTTTGATATGTAATTTCAATTAAAATAAAGAAATTTCCCTTGGGACATTCTGAACTGCGTGAGTATAGCGAGATCTTGCGCTATTTACATATTTTCTATCGCCACGTAGTTTTCACGTCTAAAGTCACTTGAAGGCAATGTTATATTGTTGTTCTCATTTTTCATTAAGAAAACACGTATGCTTCATGCTTTTGCACTGAATCCATTTTGTTCACTTCCTCCTCAACTATTCAAAATCTTGCTTGAGAAAAATATTTTTTTGCATCAAACCCTTAGTTTCCATTCTCTCTTTAACGACCAGGGTATCATTGTGGGAGGATGGGGCAGAAGCTTGATGCAAGACTTGTAGTTCGAGGTCTTGTTACACCAAATATATCAATGGGAACATATTTTCGGTCTTGTATTTTTTCAACATGGCCATTGAGCATGACGTATTTTACCACGTACATAGAATAACACGCATCATTTGAAATGTAAGTAAAATGTAAAGCACGCGATTTGATTGGTCAGAATTAAGCTATCGGTTGGTATATAACATCCTTGTTATAAAGAGAACTTCCTTGTTCAATGGAGAGCAACTATAACAAAACATATAGGGCGTGATGTCAAGGACTTGAATATACATGTTTTTTGTTTTAATAAATATATGTAAAGTAATGCGGAATCTGACGTGGAAATTATAACATCCCTGAGTGAACATCCTTATTCAATGGACTGCAACTATTACTCAAACAAATAAATACTGGACAACTGAGGACATCCTGGTATACACATATGTTCATGGAAATGCATTGAGTATTGAGACAATTTGTCGGTTGGTGATAAATATTTGTAGAACTTCCCTGTTGAATGCATTTATAACTTTATAGCTTCTTTCTTGAAAAGCTTTATTTCTAGTTGAAGGCATAAAGATGTGATGAGTATCAGAAGAAGGACAATGGGCAGATCAGTAGAAACTGCCAGTAGACCACATATATGAATGATAACATTTCCCAGTGGACCATTATTACTGTTATGTAGTACTTCATGTAGTATGAATGTAGTACTATTAATTCACGCACACGTAAAGTACAATATGCTGTACGAGCAGTGTAGGTTATCATGGACACAAATGTCATTTATCATTTTGACATCTTACATGTATCACCTAGTGCTTTTAATACATAGGTATAGTCAATGCAGGATATACTATCTGGCAGTAGTATGTTGTATGTTGGCATAGCCACATTAACAGACTCATGAATGACTGGACCACTTATACATTAATGGATTATTATGGCGCAATTAATAATTGAGTCTTTTTCGATTATCATTATTCATTATTTATTTTTCGAGTTAAGAATGTTTTAAGGTCATCTGATATGTTTCCAACTTAAACGACGCATTTTGTACATACAAACCAACGTTTTAGTTATTATGGTAGATTATTTTGTAATCAGAATTTTTTTGAAAACTAAAAGATCCGTTTACACACTCTCGGCTGACGCGTTCGGCGTTTTTAGGGGTAGCAAGTTACTTTATACGGGGGCTACATGCTGCTTTTGCACGGGCTTATGCACATTTTGAGCGGGATATTGACTATTGACGACAAATCGAGTGAGTTCTGCCGCAAATCACGCCCTAATTTCCCAAGGGTCCAGAAGGGTCGCCTTGCTAATCATATATACTACTTAATGTCTGTTTCATGCGATCAAAAACGTTTAATAGCCGACTATAGCAATAAACTCGAGGACTCTGAGATCCACTCCTTTGGTGAATCCAGTCTCCTAATTTTTCATGGAATTTCCCCCTTTCACATAGTATTTAAAAAAAATATATATAGGTTGATTTACAAATTCAGTGAAATAGTATATAAAACCTAAGAGAATCTAACAATATATTGTTGAATCTACCATCGAAAATACGAAAAACTAGATCCACGTTGTATGGACGTTTTTAACTTTGTAAATGACCCACGGATCTTGAACTTAATAATAGGAGGACATGCTTGAGTTATAATTAAGAAAGCCTAACCGCAAGGACGGATATGCATTTCGTCTTTAGTAAAAATGTGTCCCCGGGTTTGTCATACAGAAAAGCTTCCTTGACTAGGGTTCTTATCCGTTGGTCTTTTACTTTTACATGCAAGTCATTTGCAGACAATGTACGTTTAAAGGTACTAACCTTGTATATTCAAAGTAGAGTTCATGCCAATGAGAAGGTCACACTTCAATATCACACTTTCCCTTTCCTCATCCTGGTGTCATTTTCAATCTTAGAATTTCTGAAATTGTAAAACATAAAATAGTCATCAGTGGTTTCCAAAATTGTTTTAAATGATAACATACAGTTAACTTAAAGTGGCCTCACACCAGACATCGAATCCTGCATGTCTTTGCCCGGGGTTAAAAGGTAAGTTAAACTTTCTGGACATAACAAAATTAAACTCTAGTACATCTCGAGGGCATGACTAGCACATCTCTAGTACCTGACTAGTGCATCCCTAGTACATGACTAGTACATCTCTTGTTTATGAAAAGAACGTCCCTAGTACATGACTTATGTATCCCTAGTACATGACTAGTACACAAATGTCATATCACACACGAGCCAGTATTACAATTGAAGGTGACACTTGCGAAGGTAGAATAGATCAACTTATATAACGTTAAAGACTTCATGAAACACTTTTGTGTAATTACAAACATTGCTTATATACGACTCCAGGCCTTATAATTTCCAATCAATTATATAGCCAGTTTCATTAAAACGAAACAATAAACTAAATTAAATCAAATAATATTATTTTAGTAGTATATAACGTAACAGTAGAACCTGAATGATTATAGCAGAAATGATTAAAACTGATTAAGGTTTCTAAATATTATGTTCTTGTGGTTTTATTAAGGTTGTGCTGACCCTTGTTTTGAAAATTAAGGTAGGCAGCAAACTAATGATTTTGCAAATTTACTACATGTTTTTGTCTCCCTTAAATTGTTGTTAATTAGATTTTAAGGGTTTACCTAATTTGGTATAAGGATATATGCAGCAAGATCTTATTTGTATAAGGTCAGATACCAACGTTGAACACAATGTTACCTTTCAAATATTTTAATGTAACTATGTAACTCTCTATTAATTAGGGGTAAATAAGTATACAATACAATACAACAATAAAGACAGTTTATCTAATTTTTCCACCACCATTAAACTGATGCAAACTGATCTTAATTTTAATTTAGTAATCTTCCGTTCTCATGTTTCATGCCATGCTTAAACAGACTATCAATTTTATTTAAAGATGATCCTTACGTTTTTGAGGTTGAGTATATATGAATACACGTATTGTACGTATATTTGAGCGTTTGTAAACTCCCAACTAATTTTAACAGCCTACTAAGAGTTTGCTTCGTTAGAATAAAGCCGACTAGGAACACTCCTAGAATAGACCTATTGTAAAATCCGATTAGGACGTGTTCTATTACAACAGTTAGATCCCGCGAGGACTTTATTTCATCCCTCCCGGCTTTGGGAACAAATATGTTGATAGGGTATAATCCTATTGTAACACGACATCTCAACAGATTTAAGACATAATAGAATATCATTTGATATCATCTGATAGCCTAGTTATGTGATTGGCATATGGTTATTTATCTATGAGATCCCAACTTTGATTTGTTTTCACCATATGCTACAGTATGCAAACATATCGTTTTTAACCGTTTTGTGTAATGTAATCTGTATATTAGCTGAGAAGTGTTCAATAAGTTGTTTGATTATTATTCATTTTTCTGATTGTTATTGACTTTATTTTTGATATTGTTTTGTTGAGGTTTGTTTTTTTTTGTTTTTAGGGGGTTGTCTTCTGTTTTTGATAATAAAGCTGTGGATATGAAGGCGAACAACTGATTCTCATAGTACACACAATACAATTCAATTCGAACTTAGGTAGGACTTTTCTGTTAAAGTAAACGATAGGCATATTTTTGTTCTTCCTCCGATGACTTTTTATCAAAAGAATAATTTCTTGAATTTCCGATATTGACACAATATTTCAATCCAAAATAGCAGGAATTCCCACATCAAAGTGTTGCAAATACCTGAAATATGGAACAACTAATTAGGTTTGGAATAAGTACATCATGGCATGAAATCTGTATAAAATTATTTGATATTGGCTGCATTAATTGAATGCAATAATTTGAAAAATGTCTGTAAAATATTAAAATTCACGGTTCCACCATCGGAAAATTAGATAAATCTTTTATTAACATTTCTCCAAGAAGCAGTTCAAGGTCGGAACTAGGTCAAATTTACATGTACCTTGGTGATCAAGCCTTGCTTCACAGAAAATTGTCCAAATCCCGCATTAAAGTAGATCCAAAGCTGCATTAAAAATAACAAGAGATGTAACATCCTAAATAGGCAAGGATAACGATAACCTTGATTTTGAAGACTGGGAATGAACATAAAGGACAACTGTAACAAATGTATATTTGTAGGGGCCTAACTAGAGACAGAGGATATGAAAATAACAAAACCAAGTCGATCCTGCAGCCACAGGACTTCAAAATGTAGACACAAGTACTGGAGCGTTCTGTTTGAGAAATTAACAAAGTCTTGGAGAAATGTTTTCAAATCCTAGTGACAATGATGAAATGCGCAATAATAGTTAGTTGAATGACTAAGAGTAGAGAACCATTACATTGCATGATTCCTCCTCATTTACTCATACTACTGTTTTATATTTACAGCATTATCGGTACAATTGCCTGATAAGTGAAAAAGAAAATTACTTTTGAAGGCAAAGAGGAAGTAGATGGGGTTTATATCTAAACAGATTAATCTGCTATCCATCGGGTGGGAACGTTAGCGTGAAATGCGCACTTAATTTAATAACGAGATACCCTTTACGATGTACTTTGGCTGAAACGCACAAAGGGCAATATTTCGATGACAGGAAATAAACCACATTACTATAAAAATGAACGGTAGTATATATTAACTGTGGTAATGTCCTTGTAGTATATGTCCATACGTCACAATGAACATATGGTTTGACCTTATTGAAGTAAGAAGTAATCTTACAAAACCAGGATTCAATGTTTACACTTTGTAGTATATTCATAGTTCATGCAAGAAATAGTTTTTAGTATTGCATTAACACGATTCATATGAAATAAAGGAGTCGGTACTATTTTACGTTTTAAGTTATACGACGTCTAATTTGTGCCAATATTTAGACGTTGAAACAGAATAGTGTGTTTATTGATGCAAGGTATGCATTGATAGAATAAAAACATAACGGAGTGTAAAAACAATTTTCGTGCAAGGGCAGTTTATGTTATCAAAACAATTGCCACATATTGATTAAGTAATTATTACGGAGTATATCAAAAGAAAAATGTCTATGCAGACGCTCGTCTTTGTTCATCTGACCCAGTTGTGGGATCATTATGCTCTGCGCCATTGTTTGAATATTGACTGACAGTGCGAGGACGCAATTCCCTAAGCGGGGGGAAATGTAACAACTATGAATTTCGTTTGCCTTTCATACTGATACAACGTGCTTATTGAAATGCACTTGCAAAAACAACGGATTTTCCATTATGATTAAATATAATGCAAATCATCATTCATTAATAGAATCATTTGGTTAAGTCGCTATGCCTTTTATAATTGAAATTGAAACCACAATAGGATTATTATTCCCATAAAGGGATGTAATTCATTTACATAAATCAAGACAAATTTACAAAAGACGTATATCATATAAACACTCCATCTCATATTACAAGCTTACACGAATGATTCTCCTACCAAATATCATCCCTATCTCATATATCAAGATCATGTTAGATTCCGAACATTTGTTTTGTACTAAATAACATCAACTATGAATTTTCACAACTATGAAATAAGAAGTGAGTGCTTTTGTGAAATTCAGAAAAATGTAAATACTTCAAAATGTTTTTTAGAGAAACACTGATTTTTACATGGGATCCATTTATTCATTTCCGCGCTCATTTTTTGTCAGATATTGAAATTTTAGGGCACCTAGTAAAGAGAAAGCACCAAAATACTTTTTTAAAATAAATATTTCTTGTTGACCACGACGGGCATCAGTAAAGTATATCCGACAGATCAAATCCCCGAGGTTAATCAATTTTTGGCATCCTCCATATTTGCTCAAATCATCGACAGAGTCACACGAGACAACTAAAGTAGTTAGCCAACGCTAAAGCAGATCTAGTAGTTGCTATCAGGCACTAAAATCTCCAGACTAAATTCGCTGTAAGGCGCAGAGGGATTAATTCCTAACACAATGGATCCCTAATCGACTAGAGGCCATAAAATATTAATAAAACAATATGTAATGAATCTGTCCCTAACAATCAAAGTAATTGATAGAGAAACCTAGCTCATCATTTGAAGAGCTCCGAGGGGAGAAAGGATAAAGTAGAGAATGAAATGGCCTTTTTAACCCTGTTAACCAAAGGTACCAAGGGCCGGGTATTATGTGTTGGGGGTAGAATAAAGTTGAGCCTTAAACAATAATGGGTTTTTCGAAAACTAGAACCATGATGAATAAGATGATCCAAATACACCTAGAAAGGATACCCTTAATATCCATCTCCAAGCTACACAAACCTCTGATTAAAACTATGATTTTTACTATATCTACCCTGCGCACATAGTCTAGTTATAAGCTACGACGAAGCTCTATTTTATGAAGCTAAGTTGAACGAATGCAATGGGTAAAATATATCCCCCTTTGCACCCTATTTATATTTACCTGTAAGGTATCCCTATACACAAAACTATAAAGCCATAATCTTCTGAAGAGTTAGACAATTCTGATTTGATCGAGGATTTATCTTCAATTTGTAGAGGGGCAAAGTCGAAATCTGGCTCAGGGTAATGACTAACAAAAGATGAAGGATCACGGGCACCCTTAACAGTCAATTGGCAATAAAGCTGTGATCCATAATGTATGGGTACATCCGTGCTAATGGTCGTCTAAAGAGCTATAAGTGCCATGCAATTAAGGCTTTAATTGATAAATACACCACAATTAAGAACTATGTGAGAGCTCTCACTCGACGAAATGTGAGCTAAGCAAATACACATTGGTTAAGTTGGGGGATCACAGTGTTTTAATAATCTGGATATGTCTAAATGATATGATGACTACAATGAATCGAAAACATGACTATTTTTTTAAATAATGCAGGACGCATCTCGGGCTATGGATGATACCGTTCAAGTTATATCCAAGCT